CAGAGCATACACTGGGAGAAGTTAGATAAAAGAAAATAATCTCTCTGTCAGGATGCCCCATAGCAATCCTTTATTTCCTATTATTCAGAGTAAGAATGGGTTGGAACCTAAAACCTGAGAGAGAGAAAACAGGCTGCTCCCTAATGCAGCAAGGCACAATCCCGCCTACCTTGCTTTAAGATGGCTCTTTCAGATTGGCACTCTGCTGGCTGATTTGCATGCTAGCTTGAGAAGCATGCTTCCAGCTGCATTGTGGGCATACTCCGAGAAGGAGGGTGAATAGAAGTTGCCATGTGCCCAAGTAAAGACCCTCTCTTTCAGCTCACATTCCTCCACTCTCTCTACCCTTCCCCTCTGAGCCTTTTAACACAGGTGTAGACTCTTCACCAGAACCAGACCCTCCAGCTGCCCTTCTTGCCTTTTAACACAAGTGCAAACTCTTCACCAGAACCAGACCCTCCAGCCAAAACCAGACCCTAAGTCTAATGTCAAGGCACAGGTGGAAATTCCCTTCTCATCTATTTCCCCTGGGCAAATTCAAACTTTATTTTACTTAGCATCCATACGTACTGACGTTATGCCTATCAAGGCCTAAGATAAATGTGCACAAAAAGGAGAAATTTGCACGTGGTACTTCAAATATCAGGTTCTTAAAAAGATGGTATGTGAACCAATAAAACTTTAGTTCTCTAGTGTTCTGGTTCAAGCAGGAATTAAAGCAGGGAAATCCTATGAACTATGTTATGAAGAAGGTCAGATTAGATGACAATAGGTTCCTTCTCCTTTTATAGTCTGTAATTCCGTGAATAACTTTTTAAATTTTATTTTCTACTAGCACATTTATCCGGCCTTGCTTGTGTCCTTAATTCTTTTTTTTAATAAAAGGAAAATGCTTTATTTGGTTGAGGGGAATGAGGAGGAGCTGAGGGCAGAGGGCGGGGTGTGTGTGGGGAATAGGAGTCAGGGTTGGGGGTGAGGAGGTACTCTGGGCAAGAGATGGTGTGTGCTGGGAGAGTGGGACTGTGTGCAGGGAGGGCAGAGAGTCCATCATCAAGATTTGTACCTGGGCTGCTTGCTCTTTCCTTTCCTGTCCCTGTCAGAGAGAGAGAGAGAGAGAGAGAGAGAGCCCTTTCCGGTCCCTGTCAGAGAGAGAGAGAGAGCAAGAGAGAGCGCAAAGTGCATGTGCTCCTTGCACTCCCCAGCCAAAATGAGGAATGCAGCAAACTATACTTTCCCCTCATAATCTGATGAAGGGGAACAGTCAGCAATGTTCCTGTATAAATCTGGGGTAAGGGAAGCTTCAGCCCTCCCTAAAGGGTGCCGGTGGTGGGGTGGGAGGCTTGGGTGGTCCCGAATTAGGGGGGCACCCCCAGCAAGGCTCTTTTCACCTGCCTGGTGATTCTCTCTCTTTTCTGTATGGTTTTATGAGAAGCAGTCAAGGCACGTCCCATTTTCCTGGCACAACCAAACCCTCACCTTACTTTAAATTATGGTAAGAAGAAGCTATGTACCGAATTTGGTGGCTGTCACTCTTACCGTTTATGAGTTCTTGAACAGACAGACAAACTCTCTCAAATATATAACTAGATGTGACATTTTCACAAATGCTAGCTAATTTAAGAGCACAAGACCCACTGAAAGTCAATAGACCTTGTGCTTCTAAATCATTTTTGAAAATCCCACTCTATGCTTTTCTAATACATTCTAGTATTGTGTCTACAGTCATTTTCATTGAGTTTCCCACAATGATGCCTGGATATTTTTTCTGAGTGGTAACAGTTATTTTACAATCCATCAGTGTAAATGAGTGCTTCCGACTGACTCTTCTGATGTGCATTACCTGGTACTTGTCTACACTGAATTGTATCTGCCACTGTGTTGCCCAGTTGTATAGCCCTGTTATTCCTCACAATTTTCTCTAATATTGACTCACTGTAAAGTGCTATTCTGTTACCTCTCTGCACTAACATGAACTCTATAACCAGGTATTATAAGCATACCTTTGATTGCTTTCTTACGACCATATCTCCAAATATAGCAAAATGACATTTTATAGCCAACCCTTCACCTATTGCCAGGCATTTTAGCACAACTTTTTGGCTTTTAAGCATCTCAAATTGAGATATAGACACATTTTTTTAGTTACTTATTCTTAACAATGTCCCTATTTTTATTTAACTCTTAACACTTAGGTTTTAGTGGCCTAGTCAGTGGATTTCAGTCTGTCCTTCCATCAGTACATCTGTACATGTTGCCATAGTCTGTATGGATAAATAGTTTCTTTTGTGCTATTGACATATGTAGAAATGTGGTTCAAAATATGGAAAGAAAACAATACAGCTGATTCTCTCTGTAAAGATATATATGGTGAGGATTGCATTGTGAATCTTACTGTACTTGATAGCTTAAAGTCCTAGCTCCTGCAGATAAATGATCACATGAGAATGTGTATAAAACTCAGGTTTTATTTTTAAAAAAGTTTCTAGCCTTTATGATTGCAGAGGAAAGCTTCAAAACATGACCCACATGTATCCCAAAGGATTAAAAAAACCAGAAAGCAAATAAATCCCAACTTTATTATTTGAAACAAAATACAGGCAGTCCCCGGATTACATGGATCCAACTTACAATGGATCCTTACTTACAAACGGGGTGAGGCAACCCCGCACTAGCTGCTTCCCCCCAGCAGACCAGGGAGACGCGGAGCGGCTTTTCTCAGCAGACACCTCAGCTTGAGAATAAAGGACTGAGGGAAGGGAGGTGTGGGAGAATAAAACTGAGCTCTGGAGAAATGTTTGGCTAGAGTTTCCCCTACAATATGTACCAGTTCCGACTTACATACAAATTCAACTTAAGAACAAACCTACAGTCCCTATCTTGTACGTAACCCGGGGACTGCCTGTATTGTGATTTTTCAGGGCCAAGCTCTGTCGACACTAGGGCTTTTTAGCTGTAAAAAGAATCACACCCCTAACTGACATACTCTAATCCCAGCCCCATAGAAAGTGATCTTCGATGTGAAAGACCTTATTAAGTTCCTCCTACAACATATCCTGGTCCTCTCTGGTAACTGGAGAATCAAGAATTCTATAACTTCCATATAGCCTGTGCAGAAAGCCAGGCAAACACTTCCAAACAACAGGATAACAAGGTTCCAGTTATGGGGAACCTATTTTATAATAGTTGGGATCAAAGCAGTTATCCTGAGCCACACGATCTGCCTCACAAAATACTAGATTTTTAATGCAGCCAAATGCCCCATTCAAGGATTTCATGTTATGTGTGTGTGTAAAGGTGTGAACAGTCCCCGAGCACTCTCTAGGGCCAAGTGAGTTGCTCCAGGTGTGCCCCACATTAATTTCCCCAACAGAGGCAGCAATAGGCTCTCATTATCCACCCATGGCAAAGAGAAGCCAACACACGTTACCCAAGCAACATGTCCCCTTTTTAACCAGGTTGTCAGAATAAGAATCATTGTAACAAAAAGTTCATCAGGACTCCAGTTCAGGGATCCCAAATTTAAAATTGACACACCCAAGCCTGCAGCTACGCTTCTCTCCATGTGCCTGAGAGAGTAACCACCATCACTACCCACCCAGCTCCATCTGTCTGCTTTCTACTTTCAGCTTCCTGTTCCTATATTTAAATAGCTCAGGACTTCTTGGATTATTTCCAGGCTGTTAGCCCCAGCTTGCCTTTTCAAGTTGCACTACACTTTTTTCACCTTACACTTTTTCACAGGACATGCTTACACTCGGAAATGATTTTGAAATAATTTATTTCAAAATAACAATTCCTGAAATAACAGTTTCGAAATAGCGTGTCCACACTATGGGGAACCCTCAAAATTAGTCCCTTAACGTGGGTGTGCTACCTTGACTTAGAGCCCCAGGAAGCACAAGGGAGTAATTACTCTGAATGACTCTGGCGAGTTGTGATTTCGAAATAACAGCAGTAGAGCATCCACACTACCGCTATTTTGAAATAAACGTTATTCCTTGTGGAAAGCGGGAGTTGTTATTTCAAAATAACCAACCCCTTATATCGAAACAACAGGCTGGGTAGTGTGGACGCTCCGCTTGGTAGCGTGGAGTTTCAACATAACTCCCTTCTGTAGATCAGGGTGCAGTGGCCTATCAACTGTTGACTGAAGATACACATTCTTTGCAGGGGGTGTGGGATGAAATACATTTTTCCTGAGGGTGGGGACTTGCAAAAAAAACAATTCACAGGTGTATCATGGAACTGGAGGTGGAGGGAGGGCCACATCTTTCCAAGACTAATTATTTGTTCTCTACAGTTTCTTACCAAGCCTTTCCCCTGTATCTTGTGTCCAAATTTGAATGGCCACAATAGGATCCTTGCCAATGCCATAGCAACTTTACCTATCCACTTCTCAACTAGTCTCACTGTGCCCCTCGGTAAATAGCTTTTAACCTTTCTAGTGGTCCTTGACCCAGAACTTCTTGCTTACACATTGTGAAATAATTCTATGCTGTCTGTGACAAGCAAATAGTCAAGAGTGCTGAAGGCAGATCCAGTAGTTGCAGAGAAAATCATGGAGGGTGGGGTATAATAGGTGGAAGTAGGCAATGCCTTCCCGAATGGCCAGACATGGCCCCACCCACACCCCACTCCCAAATGTCTATTGCTTCAGCAGGGTTCCTGTCAGGAGCCATGCTGAAGTAGTAAGTGTTCTGGGGACAAAGCTGCCTTTGGGCTTCAGCCACGTTGAGGTTACAGATACTGGGGCCGCCCGCCCTCCTCATGCTCCAGGACTGGAGAAGCTCCGATGGGGGGGGCTGAAGGCTAGACCTTGATTGTGGAGGGCTTGGCTCCCATGGGAGTTGAGGCCTCAGGCAGAAAGGGTGGGGCTAGGGACTTGCCTCCCTCAGCCCTACCTTCACCTGCCACCCATGGAGATAATTTTGAACCAAAGCCATAGCATGGTGATGGGAATCCTTTGCTTGTGCAGGTACTGCTTTCTGGGTAAACATTAAAACAACATCCTGGCCACTTGTGGTCATCCGAGTGGAAGAGGACTCACTGCTTTGGCCAATTTCCAGTCCGAGTAATTATACAATGACTTCCTAAGCTGACCCTGCTATTTCTACTGGTCATGGGCTCTTTTTCACTTCCTCTTCCAAACTGCAAACAGCAGAGCTGAGCATTGTTGATTTCTCACAGCCTTTCACCTTAGAAAGTCCTGAGCAAAGTGGTGAGATGATGTATGATGCATACTTTTCCTGTTATTAGAATAAAAAATGAGACCCTGATCCAAAGTCCCCAGAATTCATTAAAAATCAAGGATCACTTGGAATATCACTGCCCATATTCATGTGGATTCTCCAGGATGGATGCAACTGGGAATCAATTCCTCACATGAAACCTCCACATGTGTTCTTCCTTTGGACTGACCCTATTCTCAGTACAACTTCTGTCTTTTGTTTATATACAAAACAAGTCAGTCATTGTCCAATGATGCCGGTCGTCATTGCTCAGTTCTCATGTTGTGTTGAATTTTGTTTGTGATTTTCTTGCTCATTTTTCTTTAAGATTCTGTGAACACTTTTTTGAGTTTGCTTTTCTCCTGGATCTGACGCACTATTTCCCCTCAATCTTTATTGCTATTTTCTACTGTCTCAGCATTTAGATTTTGCTTTCGACTATGTTTTGTCCTATCCCGCTGTGCTCTCTCAGTCTCAAGTGTTCTTTTTTGATATAGCTGACACAACTGGAATATGGTGGTAGTCTATAATGGAGGAAGTAACTTTTTTTTCAATGACAACTTTATTCACCAAAAAAATGCCATTTTTGGGTGACTGAAACTCTTAATGAATTTGAGTCAAATCAGGTGAATAATTTCAGCTGAAATGCTCCTCCCACCTGGCCCCCGGAGTAAAGGTTATTAGAAAAACATCAAAGTTTATTTAAAACATTGTTTCAACATTTTTGCAATGAAACATTTTAACTTTGTTTCAAACTGGCATTTGATTTAGAAAGAGAGATAGATTTAACTAAAAGGAAACCTCCCCCAAACACAAAAGGATTCAAATCATGGACAAAAGGTTTTTCAGTTCATTTTGGTAAGAAATTAAAAACAAATGTACTTTTTGGTTGGCCCAAAACGAAATTTAATTTATGGATGTTTCAGCATGGCCACTCAATTAAAAAAACAACAACCACAATTATTAGCCCAGCTCTAGACTATCAATCTGCACAACATACGAATGTCTAAGGTGGAACCAGGGAAACTGACAGAAATGGTGGGGACCTGAGCAAGGTGTATGTGGGTAGTGGCTCCATGATCCCATAGGGGATGGAGCCTTGGGCAGAAGGAGTGGGATGGGGACAACCAGCCCTCAGCATGGCTCAAAGTGCGGCTGCCAGGCAGTTCTCAGAGCCGCCCAGAGCACACCACATGGCACTTCAGCTACAATTTAAAGGGGCTTGGGACTCCAGCTGCCACCACTGCCTCAGCAGCAGCAGCGGCTGGGAGCCCCAGGCCCTTTTGAATTGCCAGACTTTGGGCAACTGCCCCTTTTGTCCTGCCCCCTCCCATGTTGGCAGGCCTGGATAGAACCTTTGTCATGTCCAGAGAGATAACACAGACAGAGCAGTTTTGCAGAGCTTGTCTTTGATTATCTGCAAGCTCTAGTAATGTGCAATGATGGATGAAAGGCTTAGCTTGCATAAATTCTGGACCTGCCCTTTTCTGGGGCTAGAAATGGCAGTGAGCTATTTCATCACAGCTTGTCCAAATGCTATAAACATAATGTGCTGAGATTACATTGGTAGCTTTCCTACAATAATTCAGGTATGCTAACTCTGAACAATGGGCACCCAGCTGGCTGGAAGTTTGGTGAGATATTAAAACCATTCACCTCACTGACTTTCTGTGAAGCGATGATGAATGTTTCGGTATTCATCATTATTTCGAGAAGGTGTCTGGATAATGCGGTACTTCTGGAAAGAGTATTTCAGCAATAGATATTTTCTTGTCAGGGTCCATAGTACTGTATCAGTTTCTGGAGGCATTACTTCATTTTATGGAAGCATTCTCCATTGGTAGGGGATATGTTGTTTTCCACTTATTTCCAAGTATCGTTTCCTTAAATGAGGCTATTTTATTGTGTGTATTGGTCTCCTTGCCTGACAAATAGCCAGCCTGATGTATGGTGATTAGGGGTATGGAACAGCTGTCATATGAGGAGAGATTCAGAAGAATAGGATTTTTGACCTTGAAAAAAGAGACATCTAAGGGAGGATTTGAGAGAGGTCTATACAATCATGACGGTCGTGGAGAAAATAAATACGAACAAGTTATTTGCTTGTTCTCAAAACAGAAGAAGTAGGGGTAACCAAATGAAATTAACGGGTAGCAGGTTTAAAACAAACACAATGAAGGAGGGAGAAAACTTGTTCATCTTGGCCTCTGAGGATAGAAGAAGAAGCAATGGGCTTAAACTGCATCAAAGGAGGTTTAGGTTGGACATTAGGAAAAAGTTCCTAACTGTCAAACACTGGAATAAATTGCCCAGGGAGGTTGTGGAATCTCCATCCCTGGAGATATTTAAGAGTAGGTTAGATAAATGTCTATCAGGGATGGTCTAGACAGTATTTGGTCCTGCCATGAGGGCAGGGGACTGGACTCGATGACCTCTCGAGGTCCCTTCCAGTCCTAGTATTCTATGATTCTTCACATAACACACAGTCCACCTGTGGAACTCCCTGACAGAAGATATTTTGAAGGTCAGGACTTTACCAGGGTTCAAAAAAGAACTAGATAAATCCTAGGCTCATCAATGGCTATTAACCAGGATGGCTAGCAATGGTGATCTCCCCAGCCTCTGTTTGTCAGGAACTGGGAATGGATGACAGGGGAGGGATCATTTGATGATTATCTGTTCTGTTCATTCCCTTTGGGGCACCTGGCATGGACACTGTCACAAGACAGGATCCTGGGCTATATGAACCTTTGGCCTGACCTAGTATGGCCTCTCTCATGTTCTTGTGCTCTTATTTGCAGCTTACCCTGCAGTAGCAGAGGCAGTGGCTGGGAGCTCTGGGTCCCTTTGAATCGCTGGGTACCAGGGCAACTTCCCTCTTTGCCTGCTCCGTGGTAAATTCCAGAACTTAAATCCTATCAGCTTTCATAGGAGACCAGATAAACAGAAAACAATTTCAGCTCTTTTTAATTTCATTATAAATCAAAACAAACACTACCCCAGGAGTCATTCCCCAAAGGTCTATATTAATATAGTAAAAGTGAAATAAAATATTTACTGTGCAATTCTCCCCCTAACATTTTTTTTCTTACACCTTCCTTACTAAAGCACAGTTAAATTAATGGATGGAACCTATGAAAAATATCCAGTCCAAATGAAGTGATCTTTGGTTTTACATTTGGATTTCTGAACTCTCAAATAACTGCAAGTTCAATGTTAGAAGTGAAAATAATTACTGACGTATGGCACGAAGCCGGCAGAGTAACTGACTGTATGTGTGGTCCACAGAAATGCTAGAAAAAGTGCCCGCAAAAGCTGCATATGCCTCTATGTGGACTCAGAAATTCACGAGCAAAACTGGAAGTCAAGGTGAGTCTCCAGTGTGTAAAATTTACCCTCCCTTAATCAGCCTTGGAAGTAAACATGCCATTTAATCATTGATCACGTCAAAGCACTCCTGTGCAACAGCATTTTTTTTTCTTATTTAATTATTTTAAATGGTCCCATTTGAATCCCAGGGGACATTTCAGATACTCAGAGGTTGTGTCTAGACTGCTTTTGCAGAAAAACTTGCTTTTGCAGCCGCTTTTGCGGAAAAACTTGCCAGCTGTCTACACTGGCCGCTTGAATTTCCGCAAGAACACTGACTTCCTACTGTAAGAAATCAGTGCTTCTTGTGGAAATACTGTGCTGCTCCCGTTCGGGCAAAAGCCCTCTTGTGCAAATCATTTGCGCAAGAGGGCCAGTGTAGACAGCACAGTACTGTTTTGCGCAAAAAAGCCCCGATGGCTAAAATGGCGATCGGGGCTTTTTTGCGCAAAAGCGCGTCTAGATTGGCACGAACGCTTTTCCGCAAAAAGTGCTTTTGGGAAAAAGCCTCCGTGCCAATCTAGACACTCTTTTCCGCAAATGCTTTTAACGGAAAACTTTTCCGTTAAAAGCATTTGTGGAAAATCATGCCAGTCTAGACGTAGCCAGAATGTAATTTCCTGTACTGACATGTAGGCAAGATACTGGGTCTAACCGCTTTCTCTACGTTCCTAAATGACTATGAGCAACCAGGAGGTCTGCATATTGTCTCCATAACTCTTTACCAACTTGTGGTAACTACGTTTTTCTTGGAAGTCTCCCAGGCATGTACTTTCCAATCCAAGAGTACTTAGCTTGTGAGATGTAAGAGCCAGTGTCTCTAAATTATCTTATAGGATAGTCATTCAAAGTTTGAACGTTTCCTGGATGGGAATTGCTTCTCTGACCTTTCATACCCTTTTTTTTCAAATGTTCTCTGGCGCACCTTTTATATTTTATGCCTCTGCTTGATCCAATGAAATGAACAAATATTTGGAGGACAGCATTTACAGAGGTGAGGGTTACATGTAATGACCAATACATGGCGAGGTTCAGATGTACTGTCCAAGTGTCAAAAAAACAATGTTTATGAGTCTAACGTCTCACAATGTGGATCACAACTCGGTTATGGCATAATTTACAATAGAAAGTCTCCGGGACACTGGGTCATTCTTCATCCCGCAAGTGCGGTAAAAATATTTCCATTTGTCGCCTTGCGTATCACATATAGTAAGAGGAAATGTTCTTTAAATTGCAGCAGAAGCAAATATGGGACATGTAAAATCCAGCATTAGATGTTGTGTCAGACTTGCGCTAAAGAGCGTGACAGGCTGTGGTAATTTCCAATCTGTTAAACTCATGCTTCAAATGCCTTGCCAAAAATGTAACACTCGTTGGGTTTGTCTTCTGTGAATGGGCCATTTAAAATGAAATGCTACATGAACCCCTATGCATAGCTATTGTAAATCTCAAATAAAGCACTGTCTCAAAGTGCCCATACAGATCGTCAACAGCCTGACAAGCAGATTGATGCTGTGTCTGCCACTCTCAGATCTTTTTTTTGGGGGGGGAAGGGGGAGGAATGAAAATTACTGCTGGCCAAGAGATCTTGCTTCTTTGTACATAAGCGGATACTTGTGGGGGTTTCAATTGCCTCAAAGCCCTTTATAACTAAACAGATGAGTAAGCTCAATATCAGAAGAAAATTTCCGCTAACTTCAGAGATTTTCCAGCCATGTTCTAGCTCAAGTCCCATAGTGATAAATCAGTAAGGCCCTGTTCATATACAGGCAGTCCCCGAGTTACGCGGATCCGACTTATGTCGGATCCGCAGTTACGAACGGGGTTTTTCTCGCCCCGGAGGACGGGAGCAGCGGGACGCCCAGATGCCCAGTAGACCAGGGAGACCCTGAGCAAAGCTGCGGAGCACGCGGGCAGCGGGACAGCCCAGACGCACCGCGGCTGTCTTTGCTCCCCGTCTCCCTGGTCTGCTGGGGGAGCCAGCAGACCAGGGAGATGGGGAGCAAAGCGGCGGAGGACCCGGGGCCGGACCCGCGGCGCTTCCAGCTGATCTGGACCCGGGGCCGGACCCATGGCCGCTTCCAGATCAGCGGGAGACAGGGAGCAGCTTTTCTCACCCCGGAGGAGGCGGGGGGGCGGGG